CTTTCTCTTCGGAGGAGTGATGGGCAGAACCAGCGCTTCCCTCAGGCCCTAGATCTGCCCCGATTGGACTTCGTTCCCCCCAACACTGCTTCGCTCTACCCAAAGGTATGTGTCCCCCTCCCCACTGCTCCTGATCTGGAGACCCCCAGGGCTGAGAGATACCTAAGAATGACTACTAGGCAGAGGTAAAATGTTCGGGGCTACCCCTGGGTGGGCCTAGTACCATCTCAGAAGTTGAATGGGGGTGGGGCAGAACACCTGGGAATAAACTGGCCAGTCATTTATTCTTCATTATCTTCATCATCAACATCACTCAGTTTCCTCTTCTATAAATTGGGTATGATGACAGTACCCACTTCACAGGGCTATTGTGAAGATTAAATGGAAAAGTGCCAATAAAGTATTCTGTGCACAGAGGCAGAGTCCTATAAATGAGGCTATTGTTGTTGTTATCAAAATCAAATGTTTGCCCAGATTTTGTGCTGTGTGCCAGAAAGCAATCAGACACAGACCCTCCCCTCAAGGAGCCATAGCCTAGTTTAGAGCAAAATAACTTAAGCAAATTGTCAAATACCAGTAATACTCGCTAGTATTGATTGAGATTCACTGTGGGCCACGTGGGTACTTAGTAGGTACTTAGTTTACACACAGTGTCTCATTTCACCCTCAAACGGTAAGTGCTATGTGCTGGCTACTATTACTAGTACCATTTTGTAGAAGAGAAAATTGAGACTCCGAGAGGTTAAGTTAATTGCTCAAAGACACAAAGGTAGGATGTGATGGGGCCAGGGCCAGGGCCAGAACTCAGGCTGTCTGACTAGAGTGCCTGGTCTGGTGGCCTCTCTAATGCGATGTCATAGCCCTCACTTTTACGGTACACTTCATAGCTTCTAAAGCAGGTCCACAGACATCATGCTGCTTGGTCTTTTCATTAAACCTTGGGTTGTAGGCATTCTCCAGATGAGGATCCAGGTGCTCACAGAGGTGAAGTGGTTTTCCCAAGGTCACACAGCCAGGAAATAGCAGAGGTAGGATCTACCATGTTCCTCTCCCAACACTCCGGCTTGGAACAAGGGCCATGCACCTCTCCTAGGCCGGGAGGGCGGATGGCCAAAGGATGGTGTCCAGGTGTCCTTGTGTCCTTGTGGAGAACCACTATCCCTAAGGGGGTTCGAAGTGGGGTCCTAAGGACAGCATCAGGGAGTTCCTGAGACCCTCTCCTGCTCTCTGTGCCTAGGTAATAGCCCCAGATAGACTGTGTAGATCCTGGGGCTTGGCAGGAAGGGAGTGACTTGATGGCAGTCGGGTTCATGAATGAGCATCTGGGAAGAGGCCAAGGTTCTCACCGAGGGCTGTGTGCCCTTAGACCATAGCTTCTCCTCCCTGGGCCTCAGTCTTCTCATTAGGAAAATGAGGGTTGGAACAGCCCATCTCCCTGAGTCCTGCCTGCTCAGGCAGTCTGGAGCTGGCCTTCTTGGATTAGCTCTGAGCTGCCTCCCCTCAGGCTTCCTGGCCTCCGCCCAGTCTGTCTAGAAGCCTCCATTCGTGCCAACACAGCCTGGACGGCAGGCTGCCGACAGCCCACTCCCACCCCAGAATCAAGACACAGTCTGTGGATCATCCTCCTTTGACAGGGAAGGAAACCAGGATCCAGAAAGACTGAGCGACCTGTCTGGATCCCCAGCAAACCAGTGGTGAGGCTGAGGGAACCAGGCCTGTGACATATCCTCCACCCCCTCCCCCAGTACCCCTAACTCTGCACACATTCGTAATGTTGATGGAGCCAGTTTGAGGGGCAGGAGACCTCTCTGTCCAGTGGACAAACCCCCTGCCCCTCTTTGGTCCTAGTTTCTTCATCTGTAATATAGAGTTGACAGTTTCTTTTCTACCTACTTTGCCAGCTTGCAATTGAGTGATGACTGTGAGAGTAACTTTGGGAAGTAGAAATTAGGAAGCTGAACGATTATCAGCATATGTTCCCAGGGTAGGATAGAACACCTAGAAGGGACGTCCCTCTCTTCACTGGTAAGCCACATTTGTACAGACACTGAGCTACCCAGGACCTTCCTATCTTGCCCCCCACAGGGCTTTCTTCACTTCGGGATTCAAAAATCTGCACACACGTACATACACAGCCTACCCACAGCTAGGTACATGTACATAACACGTCTGCACATGTATTCAGAGACTTACACATGTACACATGCAAGCGTGTACAGATACACATGTACAAACACATAAATATACACCCAGGATGTCTAGGCACACACACCCACATCTAGTCTCTGTCACACACAAACACACACACATACAGCTGCATGCACATGTGTGCACCCCCTTCACTCCACCTGGCACACAAGCATCTCTGGTGATACGACCAGGTCTTGCCTCCTCCCAGTGTGGAATAGATATTTCTCTGGCTGCATTTCGATGGGTGCCCGGAAGCGCTCAGGCCTGAAAGTGCCTGCATAAATCAATATTTGTTGCTGTTAATTATTAAAAACAGAGCTACACCGTGTCTGGAACACATATCTCTGGAGTTCCCGCTGGCTCCCCGGGCTCCAGCCTGACCCAGGGCCAGGTCTAGGGGAAAGGAAGGCGCAGTGACTTCCTTCCAGGAACCCTGGAGATGGAGGGTGGTGGACAGCTGCCAGCAGCTCCCTTAGGAAGCTGCAGAGATGGCGGGCACCGAGCTGGTGGACAGCCCTGCCCCTGCAGGGTCTAAAGCAGCTGGTGTTGACTTGGCCACAGCTCAGGAAGCAATTGCTACTTTCCCAGCATCTGTCCCCACTGTACAGTGGCAGACACAATGCAGGGTCAGCTGGAAGAGCCTACAGAGGCCATATATTTTACAGATGGGAAAACTGAAGCCTACAGAGGTGGTAGGGACTCAAGTCAAGTTCACTCAGCAAATTGTAGCAAGGCCAGACCTAGGACTCACGTGTCCTGAAGTTTGCCCCATACTGTGGGGCCTTGGCTCCTCCCTAGGCACTGTGGTTGTCTCCAGGGTCAGGGGCAATTAGGATGGGGGTGGGGGGACAATTAGAGCCAGGTGTGGCACGGGGCCTGCTGAAGGGAGGGAATGGGCCACCACCGTCAGGCATTAGGGAGCAGGATAGGAGGGGGCAGGGGAGAGTAGCGCCAGGCCTTTCCCTGGATTCCTAGTTTTGCCTTTCCCAGCTGTGTGATCTTGAGCATGATATTCCACCTCTTGGAATCAGTTTTCTCTTCTGTAAAATAGGGATGATGCTCATACTTCCTGGGTTGTGGGAGAAGATGAGACTTGCGAAGGGTCCAACTTTAAGTAGATGCTCAAGGAAAGTCCTGTCTCCAAGTAGCCGCCTCTTTCTGACGGACTTCAAAGCCCATCCCAAGAATCCCATCCTGGAGGCCCTGATGTGGGGTACCCAAAGTCTGGGAAGATAGAGAAGGCGGGGGCGGAGGGGACGCGCTGAGAAGAGCCTGGGAGAGCCTTAGGGGCCCCGCGCGCTGAAGACTTCTAGCGATCCAACGAGAGCGCGCAGGCGCAGTGTCCCGGGACCGTGGGTTGGGCCGTTCTGGGGGCGGGGCTTACGG